GTTATGTGTTTCAAGAAGTATACCAAATGGTGAAATCACAGTATAAAAGTGATATTCAAGTTCTTGAAATTGACAATGGGGGTGAATATATTAATCATGAGACATAACAATTTTGCAAGATGAACTCCATTCGACATCAAACTTCATGTGTTAATGCACCCCAACAAAATGGTATTGCAAAACGCAAGAATACACAAACACTCGAAGTTGTCCATGCTTCCTTATTTGAAATGAATGTTCCACAAGAAATATTGGGTTGAAAAAGTTTGATTTGTAACATACCTTCTAAATAGAACCATGTCTCGGGATATCGATGTATCATCCGAACCATTGTAAGTTTCCTTTTCAACCCGTATTAGGCTAAATATTTTCAAAAATGGTCAATTGGCTAGTACGTTGGGCGCGCTCTATGAGTACGCTTAGCGTACTAGCTAAACCTTGGTCGTGGACATCGCCTACATACATTGGGCTTATGTAGGGTTATGTTGGGCATACTCATGATAGGGAAAGCCATAATTTTTAGGGTTTTTACCCTATTTAAAGACCTTAAGTCCCTAATAAGCTTCACCCTCTCAGCCTCCCTTGTTCTTTAAGTGTTAAAATTGAACCCTAACCTTCTTGCATGCACTTTTGAGTTTACCTTGATGATTTTTTGTGATATTAGTTGGTTTTGAAGAAGAAAGAAGTTTGGAAAGAAGCAAGGGCAAGGAAGGAGCTTGTAGATCCAGAAGTTTGGCACCAATTTCAACTCTTTGAAGGTATAAAGTTTGAACCTTGAACATTGCATGCTTAGATCTAGTTTTACGATGGAAAATGTCATCTTTTGGTCCCATAGTTTGGATTCTTGGAGTTAACAAACTTGAATCCATATAAGCTATCCACATGAGCTCCTGGAGGTGTTATGAGTCATAAAAATTGGATCTTGATGGTTAAGCCTCAACCATGCAAGTGTTAGGAGAAACCAAGTGTGTTTATGGACTTGATTCATGTTTTAAGCCCCATTCATGCATGAAAAAGCATAAAGTTTGCAACTGTATGGCTTAGGACGTTTCTACAGCCTTGGAGCTAAGTTTTGGGTGTTAGGTCTTAATGAAATAAGTTAAGAAGGTGGTTTTGGGTTGGCTGACCAGTACACTGGGCATAGTCCCATGTACACTGTGTGTACTGGGTTTCTGACACCCCGGATCTGAGTCAATATCAGCATACGTTGGGCATATATGCAGAGTACATCACGCGTACACATGCATTGGGAAAAAAGGGATTTTGGGCTCCTGGTTTTGTTAGGCTTTGGATCTATTTAATTGGGCCTCAAGCCCACCTGTTATAACAAAGTATTTTGGGCTTAGGACCATGATTAGGTGTATTTGAGCAATATTGGGCCTTAGAAGCCTCTTTGGTTGGGCTTGGACACTTTTTGGTTGTTTTGGAATTGGGCCTTACAGGGAGGAGACCTAATAAAGAAAAGGTAAAGGAACCTTTTTGTTTTAAGTTAGGGATTGGGGTTTGGACCTTCGGGCTAGATTGTGACCTAATTACTAATTACGATTTTATGCTTGTGTGATAGGGAGAGGAGTTCGTGAATCATCCACTGAGTATGTTTTGACATCCACAGTTTGAGGTGGGTCTTTCTTCGCAGTAGCCATGGGTCGAAGGCACCAAGGCTGTCCCACTAGTTATGTTATAACATGATGATTGTCTTAGAGATAATTTTCAGTCGTGTTGGTATTTGTATGATAACTCTACCATTATTGCTATGATATTATGTGGTAGTAATAGGGGTGAAATAGACCCTATATACAATTGAAATAGACCGAAGGGGTAGACCAGCACCCATATATGTTTGGCAGTATCTGGTTGAGATAGACCAAAGAGGTAGGCCAATACCCAGATATGCTTGGAAGTATCTGGTTGAAATAGACGGAAGGGCAGGCCAGCACCCAGATATGCTTGGCATTATGTTTGTTCAGTATGTTGTATAGCATATTTGATTTGTATATGGTATGTTGGGGGAACTCATAAACCTTTATGCTTACGACTCTCAGTTTCTATTTTAGGTACCTCTAGTTCGAAGGGGAAGGGCCCGGTTTGATCGCACCGCATCACTCCATGTTTTTTCTGCACTTAGTGATTTTATGGATTTATACTCTGATGTTATGATATACGGTGACTTATTTAATCTTTTGGTATCAGTTTCTTATGAATGGATGAATTTAAAAAAAATATTTACGTTTTTGGGATGTTACACCCCCCCCCCCCTTGAAAAGCTCCATGAACTCAAATCCACTCCAAGTTGTTCGAATCTTGAACCAAGTGTATTTGGGTGTACCACATATACACACCAAAATACAGGGAAACTAGAACCTCGGCTGTCAAATGCATGTTCCTTGGTTATGAAAACCTTCAAAAAGGTAATAGATGCTATGACCCAGAAAAACAAAATATGTATATTACCAGAGATGTCGTGTTCCATGAAAACATTCCTTTCATTTGTCATGAGTACTTCCTTTAGAGGGGGAGGGGTTAAAAATAGTAAACACTTATGATTATCAAGAAAACACTCATGACCAACTCGAGTGAAAACGAACCATTTACTAAATCGATAGAAGAAACAAGCCCCTCAACTTTAGACTATGTTGAATCCAATTCGATTGTTGAAGAAATCAAAGAGCCTCATGAATATATAAGGTCACTAAACTCCACCCTACGTAACGATAGGCCGCAAGAGTCTCCTGAGGTAATATTTATTCCTTTTAATGCTCTTGACCCCTCTGTGTTATAAGAAAATGAACCTAGATACCCGAAGAGACAAAACATGGGAATTTTGAGAAAACAGTACCAAGCTAATCTCAACACGAAAGCTAAATATCCTATCAACAACTATGTATCATTGCAACGATTGTCTAAATCTCATGCTCTCATAATAGGGTAACTTTCTTTTGTTCCCATACCATCGAATGTCCAAGAAGAATTAACAGAAGAAAAGTGGAAGAATGTTTTGAATAAAGAAATGAATGCCTTACAAAAAAAAATCAAACTTGGGATCTTGTGACTCTTCCCCAAGGAAAGAAAACTTTGGAATGCAGGTGGATATACTCCATCAAACACGATGCACAAAGAAACATAGACATGTACAAGGCTAGACTCGTGGCGAAAGTATACACTCAGAAATATGTGATCGAATATGGAGACACCGTTGCCTCCGTATAAAAAATAAACACCATTCGTATTCTCATCTCTATAGCTACGAATCGAGATTGGCCTTTAAAATAATCTTATTTGAAAAATGCTTTCTTAAATGGGCATTTTGAAGAACAAGTGTTCATGGATCCACCCAGGGATGGAATGCAATAATAAAGTGTATAAGTTAACTAAGGCATTGTTTGGCCTAAACCATTCTCCTCGGGCATGGTTTGGAAGATTCTCAACCTTTATGAAAAAGAGTGGCTATAAACAAAGTGATGTGACCACATTTTGTTTGTTAAACACAAAGGTAACAATATAACTGCCCTTGTTGTCTATGTCCATGAGATTTTAGTCACAGGAAACAATCTAGATGAAATGACAAACCTCCAAAAATCCTTGAAGCAACATTTCAATTGAAAGATCTTGGATACCTAAAGTATTTTTTAGGTATTGAGCTAGCTGGATCAAAACAATGGATTTTCTATGTGTCAAAGGAAATCTATTCTAGACCTGTTAACATAAACTGGGATGTTGGACTGTCAGCCATCAGACACTCATATCGAAATGAACCACAGACTAAATATGTGTCCAAACCAAACACCAACAAGCAAGGAACGATACCAAAGGTTAGTAGGAAAACTGATATATCTCTCTCATACTCGACCTGACATTGCTTATGTTGTTAGTGTTGTGAGTCGGTTCATGCATTCTCCAAGCGAAGATTATATGAATGTAGTACTTAGAATATTACGATATTTTAAAGGCTCCTCGGGAAAAGGTCTATGGTTCAAGAAACAGATGGGAAGTCTCCATCAGACTATTTCACATGCATAGAGGGAAATCTGGTCACCTGGAGAAGTAAGAAAGAAAAAGTGGTTGCTCGATCAAGTGTTGAAGTTGAATACAGAGGGATGGTTCACAAAGTGTGTGAACTATTGTGGATTAAACGAATTTTGAGAGATATTGGAATTGTTCATAGTGACCTAATGCTTCTATACTGTGACAATGAAGCTGCAGTAAAAATAGCATATAACCTGGTTCAACATGACAGAACAAAGCATGTTGAACTTGATCCTCACTTCATCAAGGATCACCTGGAAAAGAAAACAATTGGTCTCCCTCTTGTTACCTCAAAAGACCAACTTGCTAACATGCTTACTAAAGTCGTATGTGGGAGAGTTTTTCAAAGCTCTCTTAACAAGCTGGGAATGATTGACATCCATTCTCCAGCTTGAGCGGGTGTGTTGTCGGGAGCTTCCCTATAAAGATAAATATGAGATTGATTCACGTTGATTATCTCATATCTTGTATTTTCTTTTAATTAATTTTCCTCCTGTTATAGGATTGTTTCCTTTTCTTTTTCCCTCTAACTTTAAGTATAAATTGAGCTTTTTGCCAAGAAGATGAATATACAGAATATTAGAAATATTGCTCTTTGTTTTATAGTTTTGGCAAAAAACAAATTTGAACAGCAAATCTATTCTATTTTACCCCTACAATTCTCCTAAATCTCCACTTATATCTCTCACGAGACTTGAACCCTCAATCTCAAAGAAAGAGAGTAACACCGGATACCGCTTCAACAAATTGTTTTTGTACTAATGTATTATCAACCGTTTGTCACAACAAAGTAACGACATCAATTGGTTTTATGATTATTTTCCATATTTTTATTTCACAAATCGTAATTTGGCAGCGCAGTTTTTGTCAAGTTAAAAACATAAAATGTGATACAGCGGTGTTGACTTAAATATTTTGGCACATTTCCCCTTAAATTATATATTAACCCAGGACTATTTGTGGAATTATACCTATCTTCTCTCTGCGGCATTATTTTCCATATAACCTAGCAGACACGGTCATAGGAGGGCAAATTAAGTGGGGAGAAAGAGGATGCCAGCTTTAGTGGTGGCCGTTCTAATTATATTAGTAGTGATTGTGAAGGTAGGAGTTGCACAATCCAGCACCAACGATAGCAATACTAACACGCCCCTTAGATTTTACTGTGGCAGCAATGATGCGATGTCTCCTACAAGTTTTTCTAGAAACCTTCACTCTTCGTTTTCTCAACTCAGAAGCCAGTTGTCGAAAGCTGGTGTTTATTACGCCAGAGCCCAGAACTTGGAAAACGGCGATGCTGTGTATGCACTCGCCCAGTGCCGGAACTATCTCTCAGCAGCCCGGTGTTTGGATTGCTTTGATGTATCCGTATCTGTAGTCGAAACATGTGGTTCTGCGAATGGTGCTACTGTCTATCTCGATAACTGCTTTCTCAGGTGAATACTTTTCTTTCAGTTCTTTTTAAATTATTAAATAAAATAGAATTGCTTTAACTTCACGAGGTTCTGTTTGAGATTTGTTTATCGATAATCATTGTTTGCAGTTGTCATACATAGCCGATAATGCTAAGTTATTGTAGTAAAAAAGCAATGTTAATCAAATGTGTAAGAAATTTAAAAGGATATAATACAGTTCTTAATTATTATGTCCACGCGTTGTCCATACTACATATATTGTTTATTATATAAAAATCTCTAACTGTAAAGTTGACATGCGCACGTATCGATCAGTGTACATGAAATCGACGAATATGGTGAATTATATATTGGTCAACGTTCAAATAGTCATTAAATTCACTAGCAGTCATTATTGATTTGTCAAAATAGTTATATGTGAAGAGGGGTTTTAAATATAAAATTCTAGTCGTATTATACGTCTCTTTCAACCATTAACTTATGAACAAACATATATAGTAAATTAAGAACCTTTCTCTTGGTGGTGTAATAGCAAGCAAAGAAGGATGTACTTATAAATTTCCTTATACATAAATGTAAATCTTTATCGAGATTTAAAATATGTCTTCTAATTTTTTCCATCTTTAAAAATTAAAAAGTATTTACGATATACCATAACTGAAAAATTGCTCATCAAATGATATAAATACAATACAACAGGCCTTGACCCGACATACATATACAAAGAGATTCGTCCTAACTGTAAATATAATACATATATTGATAGTGGTAACAAAGTTCAATCTGTTATCAATAAAAATTAATGATATTGTATTTATCGCTAATAAATTCAGAGTTTTATATTTTATCAATTAGTTTGACAGAAGATTCCCATGTTTTTGTATATTTTTATTGATACATCTTTTATGTTGCTTAAGATTTGAGAACTACGACCAATTTTATAATGACCCAGAAGGTAGTTTAGATGCTTCTATCGCCCCACTAGGAATATGTGGTAATGAGTCAACATTTCAGTCAATAACAACCTTCAATCAAGCAGTAGAGGACTTATTATCAGACATTCGAGTTGCTACCCCAAGAACTTCTGATTTCTACACAGCATCCAAAAGGCAAGTTGGTGACAGTAATACTACACTATATGCAATTGGACAATGTGTTGAGAATGTGAGCCAGGTAATTTGCAAAGACTGCTTGAGTACATCATATAATAGTTTATACAACTGTCTTCCTGCTGCTGAAGGAAGAGCTATTAATGTTGGATGTTTTATGAGGTATTCGGAGTTTCCATTTTTTCAAGATAACCAGACAATCAACCTCATACCTTTACTAGATGAAGGTGAGCACTTTCTTAATTATATGTTGCTTTCTTTAAAAATCTCCATGTTTACAATCTTTTTATCCCTATAACAATATTGAGAATTGTATTGGGTCAATTTGTGTCACAGAGAGTTCAAGCATATTTGCCATTATCATTGGAGTAAGTAGCAGTGTAGCTCTTCTTCTGATTATAATTGCTTTATCCTTGTGGTATCGGCGATGGAAAAAGTTCAAGGCTTTTAGAGAAGGTAGTATTTTTAACATATATATTCCTATAAAACTTACTATATATGAGTCATTTAGTGAATCTTATAATAGTTTTGTATGACTAGATCTCTAGCTAGTTTGAACATTCTCATTAATATCATGGTTCAATTACTATCATGATGCATTCACATACACATACGCTCTCTCGTATATGGGTGTGCATGTGTGTCTGTGCGGGAGGATGTTAGCGATAATTTGGTAGAGTATTTACCATGTTATTAGATTTTACTGTATGTATATCATTTATCCAGCCCTAAAATATCTCTAATCTTGTATGTATTATTCATTAATGAGAAGGGATTAATTAGGAGAAATAATCTTATTATCATGGTATCAAGTTTCTGACCTAGCTAGTGACCTCCCTTCAAACTAGTGTGACCTCCTTCTTCCTTTTCTTTGATCCCTTCTCTTATACTACACTGTGTCTACTTACAAAACCCTACAAAATTGTGAACATTAAAGCATACATTCTTCTCATTCTAGATCAAGATCTTCTAAATAGTGATGCATAGTGAGAATGTTTTAAAATCCATTGCAATGGATTTGGTGTCTCTAGTTATCTCGTTAGGCCGAACAACAATGCTCCATAAAAGTCTACTAAATCTGAATAGAATCTTATTGATTCTATTGTAAAGATTTGGATCTACGATACTATCTCACATTCTCTCCTCCAGATGATTCAGAAGAGAAATGTAACTAACAACCAATTTTGGAAAAATCTTGAAACCTTGTTTAGAGACACGTATGCCAAAAAAAATGCAAAATAACAATGAACTTCGCAATATTGTCATCGAGGACCCAATCATTACCGAATGCTACAGTAATATCAAGACTATTACTAACCTAGTTGATAATATTGATGTATCATACCCAAAAACAATTTAGTTGCATATATCATCAATGCCCTCTCTCCAAAGTTGGACGACATCTCCTATCTTATCCACCCCAATTCACTTTTATCCGTGTTCTTGAAAGCTAGGTCAATGATGCTACTTGAAGTGCAAATGAATGAACCAACTATAGAGTTGAAATCTCCATGCAACTCATTCAGACAACTCATACTCTCCAATTATTCTAGCTGTTGAAAACCAACATCATATGGCTCATGGAAGAGAAAAAAGTTTTGGCGGTAGTATATGTTGGGTTGAAACACACTTTTATTCAAAATGGAACAAAAAAAACAAAGATACACACTTTATTACAAGAGAAATAAACAACCGTTTGGCTAATACTCACTCTAAGTATTACTATCTATCACTCTCTGTTTTTTGGTGCTCTACAACTGAAGTTAGAGCTCTTATTTATACCTAAACGAGCCTACAATTAATAGTGGTACCATTTACTGTGTTTAATATGTGAACATACGAATCTACCATTTTAATATCAACAAAGGAAGCATTCACTTGTCAACAAAAGATGGTAGTGCAGCTATTCATGTCAGGTTTACACCCAAGTCACCCAAGTCAGGTTTACACTCACATTCCCCCCCATAAACCAAACTTGGCTTGAAATTCGTCATGCTGATCCTATTTCACATTTCACCATGTTTCACGTATGCTAAAGCCTTTGTAAAGATGTTTGCCCCATGATCTTTCGAGTTGACATATTCCACTATAATTTTCCCGCGTTCGACACATTCTCGTATGAAATGATAATGAATGTTAATGTGTTTGTATCAACCATGAAACACAAGTTTTTTCATTAATGTGATTGCTAACCTATTATCGACATAGAGGGTGATAGGCATGGTATGATGTCCCGTGAGATCCTTCACGAGATTTGCAAGCCAAATGGATTAACATGCTTCTGTTGTAGCTGCAATGAACTCGACTTCACATGTGGACAATGAAACAGTCTTTTGCTTTTGGGATTGCCTAGTTATCTCATTATTTCCTAGATAGAAAATCATTCCACTTGTGTTCTTACTATTAATAGGGTCACCTCCAAGACCACTATCAGTAAAGCCAACCAAATCTTCAATTTCACGACCTCTTCCATAGTTGAGTCCATAATCAGTGGTTCCTTTCATGAATCATAAGATTTGTTTCACAACATGGAAATGCTAAGAGGTTGGTTCCTCCATGAAACCACTTGCAATTACAACCGAAAATGATAAGTCTGGTCACAGGTAGGTCAACTTTTTCACCATATTCATCCTTCTTAACCTTCAACTTATGTTCCATTGGTGAGGTTGTCGGGTTGTAATCTAACAACCTAAATTGCTCCAAAATATTATTTGCATATGTCGTTTGTTGCAAAGATATTCCCTACTTATTTTGTGAAACTTTGATTCCAAGGTAGTAAGAAAGTAATGCCAAGTCACTCATTTCTAATCCTTTCTTCATTTGTTCCTTGAATACAACAAAGTCGTTGGTGTTCGACCCTGTAATGATCAAGTCATCAACATAGACACCAACAATCATAATTTTGTCTTTTGAGTCGTGCTAAGTCAAGGATGAGCCTTACAATGTCAAGTCGTGCTAAGGAAAGGATGTGCCTTACGGTGTCAAGTCATGCTACCGGTGCAAAAACTTCATCAAATTCGACCTCTACCTTTTGTACAAATCCTTTTACTACAAGTCGAGCTTTATGTTTCACTGTTTTTCCCATGTTGTTTTTCTTCACTTTAAACACCCATTTCAAACTGATTAATTTATGACTCGGTGGCAAATTGGTAAGTTACCATGTCTTGTTCTTCTTGATTGCATGCAACTATCTTTGCATAGCCTCCTGCCATGCTTTAGAGGTTACCGCCTCTTTAAAATTCAAGGGCGAATCCGGTGCAATCATTAACAATTATCCAGGTTCTAGGAACACATCTTCGACATTCGAATAGATACCAGTTAGAGAACGTAACCCCCTAGGCCTAATCTTACTAGAATGGATTTCCATGTGGGTTGAGGTTAAAGAAAATGGGTTGAAATTGAAATGCGTGGGGCTGTTTCAGGATGTTCAAATTCACCATATGGTTGTCTAATTTGGATAGTATCAATTTTGGGACTGTCTGGTTATTCCGAGTTGGTTTTGGGTTCATTTTGGGGTGTTTCAAGGTGTATTTGGGGTTGTGGTTCTATTATGGTAAAGGTCTTGGGAGTCTCGATCTCGTCTTCTTGTTTTTGTATTAATTTCATTCTTCTTCTTTTTTGGTAAAAAACATCTTGGAAAACACGCAATTTCTAGTCTTGCGGATCAAATAAATGGTTGCCTTTAGTTCCATCTTCCACACCTAAATACACCATCTATTTACTTCTATCATCAAGTTTCCTCAAGTGACCACCTACAAGTTTAGCAAAAGCAACACAATCAAAAACTTTTAGATGTTCAACGTTTGGTTTTTTTCCAAACCAAACTTCATATGGTGTCATGACGGGAAGTGATTCTGTTGGTAGGAGGTTGAGAAGATAACCTGCATGTCCAACCCTTTTCCCCAGAACTCACCTAAGACATTTCTTCCTTTAAGCAAACTTCTTGCCATGTCCATAACTATCCGATTTCTCCTTTCTACAAATTCGTTTTTTTGAGGAGAATGTGGTGATGTAAGATGTCTTTGAATACCATTTTCTTCACAAAATAATGAGAATTCTTTTAAAGTGAACTCTCTCCCTCGATCTGTTCGAAGTGTCTTCAGTTGATATCTCGAATTCATTTCAACGATAAACTTGAACCGTTTGAAAGCGTTCAACACTTCAAACTTGCCTGATAACATGTAAACTCACATCCACCGACTAAAATCATCACTAAAAGAAGAAAATATTTACTCCCTGCAATAGACATAGGTGTGATCGGACCACATAGTCTTTTTGAATAAGTTGCAGAGGTTTTTGAGCACGAAAAAACGTGTGATCCGAGAAAGAAATTCATGTTTGTTTGGAAAGAACACACCCTTCACATACTTGATTTGGGTGCTCAATCTTTGGGACTCCGGTTGCCATATTCTTTTCGGATAAGTTCTTTAAGGCGAGAAAGTTAATGTGATCGAGTCTAGAATGTCATATCCAAGTTGTTTTTGTCTTTTATTTCTAAAAGACTAGTTGGTCTACTGGTCCTTAAAGGAGTTTTATACAACCAGTTTGGGGATCATTTAACTCTCAAAAGTAGAGTTTTGTTTCCTTCAAACAATTCCAGATCCGACCCATCCATTATCACTGACTCCCTTTCTCCGTCATTTGTCCAAAACTAATAATATTTTTTTAGACTTGGAATAAAATATACATTATTAAAGAGTCTTTGGTCGCTATTTTTACTATCGAATAAAATCAACCATTTTCCCAAATTAGCGACACTCGAACCATCCCCAAATTTCATGTCACCTGTAACGTGATCATCTAGTTCTCTAAACTTTGAGCGGCCTCTGGTTAGATAACTGCTAAAACCGTTGTCGAGATACCATACCTCGGACTCGACTCGACTTTCTCCTGATGCAAGAAGATTAATAGAAATCTTATCTTTTAGAGGAAACTTTTGTGTGCATATTCTTGTGATACTTCCATCATCAAAATAGGTTCTTCTTCATTCGGTTGAGTGAGGTTGGCCTCCTCATCTCGGTTCTTTTTTGGGTACTCCGAAGCATAATGCCCAAATTGTTAGCAAATAAAACATTTGATTTTACTTTTATCCTTTCGAGAAGGATTATGGTCATTCTGATTTGTATTGGAATCACAACCACATTCTTCACCAAGTGTACAACCTCGGCCTTGTCCCTGGCCTCAGTTACCATGTCCTCCTCGTCCGGTTACCATGTCCTCCTCGTCCTCTTCAAGTGTTTGACGAGTTTCTCTCACCAGTTTTCTTCAAACAAGATGCCCACTCGACAGATGTGTAAGCAATAGAGAAGGTCCTCCTTCTATTTCTCCATAGCTTCAAAGTCTCTCTTAATGGGTTTTAAGATGACCCACAACTTCTTCCACCGTCATATTTTTCAAATCTCCGAATTGCTCGATAGATGTTATTTTATATAAATCGTATCAGTATGGCTCATAGAAACTTTTTCACAACCGTAATTCTTTGATCTGTTCGCCTAAAGAAAGAATACCGGTCACAATAGTATTTAATCTCATGGCAAAATCATCTACTGATTCATTATCTTTCACCTGAATCACCTTGAAGTCACTTCTTAAGGTTTGAGCGTTAGCATCCTTGTCCCAATCGGCTCCCATGTGCATCATCTTAAGTGTTTCCCATGCTTTTTTAGTTGTGTCCTTCTCATCTAACATCAGATGTATGTCCTCTAGAATTGCTTGATAAATATTCACAAGATCCATCCGATCTTTACGTTTGTCCGAATCTACATTTTAAATTACATCACACACTCCTTGTGGTTGTAAATTCACTTGAATTTTTATGGACCACACTGTGTAATTCGTCTTCATGAGCATTGGATAGTGAAACCTAACACTAACGTCTTTCCCGGTCCTTTAAACATTTTCAACTTTCGGTTGAGACGATGACGAGTTTGGTGTAGTCATTCTTGGGAAATACCCGGGCATCCACAACCACACAACTTTTTTAAAAAGTATGGAGATCAATATGAATGTTTTAGATGTTTAATGGGAAAACAAAACTTATATAAAAGTAAAAGGGGCTAAAGTAAAATTTTTCTGAGAAAATGAGACCAAAAATACCAAACATAGTGGCCAAACTGCAGTTTCTGGAAGAACTGAGGCCAATCTACAATTTTCAGAACTTTGTACAATAACTTCTACAGTGTTGATGACGTCACCACTATAGTGTCACCTTTTCCGACGATTTCTCTGGCTGGTTTTTTCTGGCCAACTTTCCGACGATTTTGATCATCTTTGACCGGTAATTTGGAGCCCCTTCGGTGGTCAAAAATTCAGAAAAATATATTTTTAGAATAGTGGAGACGATAACACATGTCCTCTGTACTGCATCCAAATCATTATAACAATCTTGTTGGGGCCCTTTAATGCCTGACTTTAACAGTGCCCGATATTGTTGGAACTTTGCTAAATGAAAACTTTGTCTATGGGACTTGTCCCATATTAGAAGAAAGAGGAAACTTATACTCCCTTAAAAAGCCTCCTACTAGTTGTTTACCAATTAGATCAAAGACATGGACTAAAGGGATTGGGTTGAATTTGGTGATTGAGCTAGTCAAATTGGTCTTGAAAGACTTAGATTAATATATATATATATATATATATATATATATATATATATATATATATATATATATATATATATATATATATATATATTTAATGGCCAAAAGATTGGCCTTGGGCCTTCGGCCTCTTGGGGTCTCATTGAGTGGTTACATTATTTTATATATATTAATTCCGATTTTGACTTTTATTTTTATATTAAACAAATCTTTTAAATTCGTTTTAACTGTCTTGACAGTTATTTTCGGTTGGTAGTTTTGGAGGGAAAAACAATCAAATTATATCTATAAATAGATCACCAAAGACAAGATTTCGGGTTCAGAAAAATCACATAAAAATTCCTCATATAATTTCATATTCCACAAAAAAAATTGAAAGGAACATAATGAATTTCGTCAGAATCAAGAGGAGATCTTGATTGATTGTTGTATCCTCTATACAGATCCCCACCGGGGAAATTTCTGTCTTAGGACACTGCAAAGCAGGCCTTAATCTCTTCAATTTCGTGATTGTATTTTCAATGTAATTATCATACAAGTATGTTTTCTGTAAATTGATTCTTGTATATTATATATATATATATATATATATATATATATATATATATATATATATATATATATATATATATTTGGATTTCGTTTCTTTAATTTCAATTAGTTTTGTTGATTGTGTACTTGTGTAATAATAGATATCACTTACGTCATGCAACAAATCATTGTTTACATGTACTACTCGCAAAAGCATTCTTCATGTACATTCGAGGAATTATTACTCATGACCTACATCTTTATGCTTCCCTCTCGCGGCCTCACTGTTTATCAGATGTGGATTAGACTAGCTACTTCACCACATGATGATCCACGTTTGGGTAAAATGCCTTTCACGTTCACAACCTTTTCTTATGGTCCTCGAAGCATTAATTAGCGTACGATTTCCCACTCAAGTTTTGATGGAGAATACAAGAATGTTGGCAAACTTAATGGCGAAAACATGCTGACTTTAAAACTTACTTCGTGATTTCTACCACCCGACTAATAGGGTGACTATTATCTATTGTGAAAATGTTAGTGCGGTTTACTTATCGAATAATTCAGTTCAGCATTAGCGTATGATCAAGCATATTGACATAGACATTCACTTTGTGGAGGACAAAGTGGTATCACCCGTACTCTTTACAATATATTATTATTTTCACCAAAGGCCTTCATTTCATTATGTTCTTGAGTGGGGATGAAAGTATGATTATTTGTATTAGGATTAGTATATATATTAGGCTTTATATTCGTATATGGCGTGTTCGTCGTTAATTATCTTTGTAATCTTGTATATATTTTTAGTTAATGAGAAAGGGTAATTTAAGAGAAATTATTTTATTTGATATATACTAAATTTATCTTTTTTTGTTTCTTTGATTGCCCCACTAATCAGATCTGCTACTATACATGTGATTCTTTAGATACATTGGAGTTGAAAGGCGCACGAAGTTATAGTTACCAAGACTTGAAAAAGGCAACTAATAATTTTAGTGAAGAGTGTTTAATAGGAAAAGGTGGTTTTGCCGAAGTATTCAAGGTAACGGAACTCTTGAATTACGTATCAGGCGTTTATAATTTGAGGTGTATTATCTCTTGCAAGGGATACATAATCTTTATCTTTCTAATTTGTGGACATGAGATAATTAATGTAGTACAATGTGAAAATAATTGTCTCCAGGCCACTGTAGATACCGGGGTTCTAGTAGCTGTCAAGAAACTCCATATGGGGCAAAGAGCAAAGAAGGAATTTCAAAATGAAGTTAAGCTTACAAGTAACGTTCGTCACCGAAATCTTATTCTACAACTAGGATGGTGTATTGATGGGCCTGAACTACTCCTTGTGTTAGAATACATGCCCCATGGAAGTCTAGATAAGTTCTTATGGGGTACGTTTATTATGTTAACATATTGATATAATTATTAACATGATGGTGTAAAAATTGCATCACTTATAAAATTATCATCGACAGGTGAAAAAAAGGGATCTCTAAATTGGAAACAACGGTCTGATATTATCTTCGGGATTGCAAGAGGTCTCGCCCATCTACATGGAGAGTTCCATGTCAAGATCATTCATAGAGATATAAAGTCAAGCAACATTCTCCTTGACGACGAATTCCAACCAAAAATTGCAGATTTTGGGTTGGCTAGGTTCCAACCAGAGGATCAAACCCATGTTAGCACCCGGTTTGCTGGAACTATGTAAGTTTCTATTTAAGTTCTATTACTATAGATCCAGTTGATTATAATATATTTCATACTAAATTATATCATAGGGGCTACACAGCACCAGAATATGCAACTCGTGGACATTTATCGGAGAAAGTAGACACTTACAGCTTCGGAATTGTGGCCCTTGAAGTCATTAGTGGCTGGAGGTGTTGCGACGTGAACTATAGTGGGCCTCAAATGAAATACCTTCTTGATCATGTAATCTATACTTGGAAATTCAGCATTACTATATACTTACTACTTTGCAAAAGCATATGGATTTTAGTCGAAATAGTGTATGTGATTATATATATATAGCTACATGGACTTTAACTTAAAGCTTTCCTCATGAAAAGGAAGAAGCATCATATTTTACAACTTATTTTTTAATAGGTTCATGATAGATATATATGTTTTTTTTTCTATTATAAACTTGCGTAAAAGGAAGAAGCATCATATTTTACCACTTTTTTTCTTCATGGTCTTCTGGATGATAGGCTTGGAAGTTATACGAGGAAGGCTTACATATCAAATTGATTGATGAAGCATTATATCCAAATGAATATGATGAAGAAAATGTTATGAAGATCGTGGAGATAGCTCTAATGTGCACTCAGTCACCAGCTTCTTTAAGACCCACCATGTCTGAAGTTGTTTTAATGCTGTCCAGTGGGCCAACTTTGGGGCAAAGACAAATTTCTCGGCCTACCTTCATCGATTCCGATAGAAGAATTCACATAGGTGGATTTTCAAAATGCCCATGATAGAAACGGCTACTTACCAACGTAGACAAATACACTTAAAAGGCAACAGAAGTAAATTAGGCAATGGAAGGACAGTACTCTAGTACTCTGAGTCTGAAATTTTCTTCTTCAATTGTGAACTTGATAATATTAAAATAATAAAATTATATGAAATATTTGATATATTAGATTAACAAGTGACTATTTAACTTGAATAAATATTTCTTTTTAATAACCATTGTATAAAGTAAAAGAAATGCGCAAAATAAGAAGAGTTTTTTTTTTTTGAACAACATTGGGGCAAAGAGAGTACAAAACCTAAATGAAAAAGACCAAATATGAGCACAGATTTTTGTCGTAAAAGCCCCAATTTTACACAAAATATCTGGTTATGTCACTAGTACAAAACGTATTTTTTAGTGCGATGAGGTTTTTTTTTTTTTGGTGCGGTTTTACCTTATGACCACACCATTAAAACACTTTAGCATTAATAAATCAAGGAACCGCACTAACAAATATATTTTTTTATGCTGTTTTTCAAAATCGTACTAATAAATATATTTTTTGATGCTGTTTTCTAAAACCGCACTAATAATAAATGTATTTTTTGATGTTTTCTTAAAAAGCACTAATAAATGCATTTTTTTTTTAACGACAAATCTATTCTACTCCTACACTACTCCTAATTCTCTACATATGTCCCTCACGAGACTTGAACCCTCAACTTCAAGAAGGGAGGGCAACACCGGATACCGCTAGACTAGAAGCCTTTTGGTAATAAATGCATTTTTTTTATGCTACTTTTAAAAATCGCACTAATAAATGTATTTTTTGATACTGTTTTCCAAAACTACAGTAATAGCAAATGTATTTTTTGATGCGGTCTTGGATTGAGTTCCCTCTTTATTTTTGTTCCCGGGCTGAAGCTCATTCCAAAATTTCATTCCCCACGCGATGCCTTTCTCTTCCCCTTTATATTTCCTTAATCTAATTTCATTTGGCCACACAAACCCTAATATCATTGACTACTGCCGCCCTCACCAGCATCCTTGGGTCCTCTCACTCGTGACAAATCTGAATAATCTTTGAGGAGTCGACCTCCACTATAATCATCTTTGTCCATCGCGATCAACCCAACGTCAAGACTAACATGTATGTTTCTGATTTATAATTTTGATTCATAAAATTACTTAATCTATATGTCTGATGCTCTGATTTCTTAAGTTAGGTTGTGGAAGAAAGAAGGGGTTGGGTAAAGAAGCTTGTGACGTTCAAAGGAGAGCACATATTTATGCAGGGGAAGATATAAAGATAGAAAAAACCTAAAAAAAAAAGTAACAATCTCATGTCTTTTATCTACAAAAATTGAATCAAGGCAAGTTTTTTCCTTTGTATTGATAATATTTCTAACCTATGTAATTTACCTTTTAATTAAATGGATTGTATGCCTTTTGATAAAATTACTTTGTAATTTAATTAGCTTCTGAATTCCTACCCAAGTGAGGTAACAGAGTCAAAGGTGGGCATCATCTCCAAAAATCTGCAAGATACCGAAGAGGGGCCGTATGAAGATGGTGATAACGAAACTGAACACATCTATATCTAAAAAAACTTGAATATGCTTTTGTAGTTAACTTCCTTAACAACTTACATCCCTGAAGTTATTATATCAATTTGTAAATACATACAAGGATGAAAAGGTTAGAAAAGAATGTGTTTTTTTATTAAGATAATTTGAATCTCTTGTATGGTTTGTGTCTTTACATCTATTATGATTTTTTTTTGTTTCTGTATTGTAAATCAAGTAGTTTATGATATTTTATGTTGCAATTCGTATTGTATTTTAAAAGACCGTTTATTTTCTAAGGTTGTTCAATAAGAGCATCAAAAAATAACTCTATTTTTTAAGGCTGTTTATTAACAGCATTAAAAAATAATTGTGTTTCTAAGGCTGTTTAATAACAGCATCAAAAAATAATTCAATAACTCTATTTTATGAAGCTATATTTTATAAGGTGGTTCTGGACAGCATCAAAAAATAAGTATAATTTATAAGGCGGTTTTGGACAGCATCAAAAAATAAGTATCATTTATGAAGCTATTTTTACGAGGTGGTTTTGGACATTTTCTAAGGCGGTTTAAGAACCGCCTCAAAAAACAACACTATTTTATAATGCTATATTTTTTGAAGCAATTGAATAACCGCATCAAAAAATAAAATAAACCGCTTTATTAAACATCTTCTGTACTAGTGTGTAATAAGTTCGTTTTTTTATACGTTAAAACCAAAAAAATACCGGAAAGTAGGTTCATTTTTGCCCCAATCCTGGCTGTAGCTGGTTACACAACATAGGAGGCACTGAGTAGATGTTGATACATACGTGGAGTGTTGTGATTGGTGTCATGTAAGGCCTTTAATTCCATATACAATACTTTTAAAAGAATAAAGAGGAGACGGAGTAGAGAGATTCAAACCTAAGTCTCCTCCCTACAAAGCAAGCTATGATATTAACTAGGGGTGTGCAAAAAACCGCACAAACCGCCCGCACCGCACCAAACCGCACCGTATAATGCGGTTTAGAATTTCGTGGTGCGGTTTGTGGTTCGTCATTTTATCAAACCGCACTATGCGGTGTGGTTTGCGGTTTGTATTTATAAAATCGCGGTTCAAACCGCACCGTACCGCATGTTATATATATATATATATATATATATATATATATATATATATATATATATATATATATATATATATTCTTTTACTTTGTTATAACTTCAAATCACGATTTAGAAACGATGTATTTAAATATATTTCTTACAATAATCAAATATCTATAACGTAACATTAAATCACTATTAGATCAAGATCCCACAGTTTACAAGAATATAGCAACTATAACGACAATATAAAGCAATAATAGGGACACTTACGAACTATAGTAGCATGAATCACAATTTATTAAAAACGATTTAACTTGAAAATTGTATTTGTTTTTATGAAATAAAAGTAATCAATTTTTTTAACCGGGTCAGTTTTTTGGTTTTTTGATAGATTTAATGTTGAACAACTCATCAAACCGCACAAACCGCAACAAAACCACATAAACCGCCCGCATCAAACCGCACCGCATAACGCGGTTTTGAACATTTGTGGTGCGATTTGCGGTTTCTAAAATATTCAAACCGCATATGCGGTGCGGTTTGCGGTTTTGACTCTAAACCGCACCAAACCGCACCGCGCACACCCCTAATATTTACTACTATACTAGGAGGAGCTATATGATAGTTTACGTACCAAACAATATTTATTCACGAACGTTGCTATTATTATTATTATTATTATTATTATTATTTATAAATACGGTTTTATTATGTATAATATGGTTTTTTTTAAATATATTTATATTTTCAAAAAAATATATTGATATATTTAAGAAATTGTATACAATCAAATATAAAAATATCTAACAAATAAATATAAAAACATATTAAATGCTTTTTATATGAATAAAAACTTTTTATACAAATAAAAACTTTTATACGTGTAAAAACTTTTTTATACCTAAAAAATGTTTTTATATACATATAAATACATATAAAATGTTATTTATACATATAAAAACTTTTTTATACATATACAATGTTATTTATATGCATAAAAACATTTTTATAATAATAATAATAATAATAATAATAATAATAATAATAATAATAAATAACCTGCGTGGCATCTAGTAAGTATAATGAATAATAATAATAATAATAATAAATAACCTGCGTGGCATCTAGTAAGTATAATGTTTCAGGAAAAGTTTTCAACAAAACTACTTGGTCTACTGGTAAAGATCTTTGTTTTATATGAAGGAGATTTGGTTTTGAATCCCCCTAGTTTCAATTTTCCTTCCATGCGTGTTTTTTCCTAACAATGCCAAGAACACTCAAGCCATGTAAAATCCGGTTATGGGATAAAAATGAACCAATTTTCTAGTATTTTGGGGTTTTATCGCACCAAAAAAACACACTTATGACATAATCAAACAGTTTGTGTAAAATTAGGGGCTTTATGACAAAAACCCCGCTACATAAGAAGACTATTGCCTAAAACCCAACAACAACTCTGAACACTTAAAAAAATTGATCATTACCGAGGACAAATAGCGGCAACAAATCGTCGTATTGTTATGTCGCTATTGATCAAAACAAACGCCGCTATTAGTCATCATCTCTGCAAATGCTCGTGTTGTTGCAAATACTTAACGTTGCAACACAAAATTTCCTTTTTTTGGTTTTTTTGTTCTTCTTCATATCAGTTTTAATATATTACCAGACCTCCCACACATCTTATATTAAATCAACTTACTACCTTCCTTTGATATATCATGTTTTCTACCAGAAATATCTAACCTATCAAAACACCTTAGTTGATCACCTCCTCGTGAGACCTGATAACCAAGTATTGACTATCCTTAATTTGATCCTTGCAATTTACGAAACAAAAAAACTAATTATCCCTAAAGACAACACAATTGGCAAGATATAAATTGGATTACCAAAGACAAGTAGTGACAACACAATCCTTAGTATACATATTAAGTTGATAAAGAATAGATACACCGGTAAAGACAAACCACCCATAAAAAAGATACAACCATGCGTAGAAATCTAACAACACTATTTTTAGCATACCATTAAAGATATAACCATGCACAGAAATCTAACAACACTCTTTTTAGCATACAATTTATGTATGCTAGACAATTAACATATAATAAATGATAATTGTTATAGCTTGATCCTTGGAATAGGGAAATCGCTAGTCTAGCTTGCACGTTGCATAATACATATTGTAAGTCATTTAAGGAATTTATCATTATGCGATAAAAATGACATTTTGATGGAAGATGATTCGGGATAAATAATTTAAACCAAAGTTATGGTATATGCGACAAGAATTGCATACATATAAAGAAATCTGAAATCCGACTTCGTATGAACAAGTTATGATTCTTCGAAGTTTCGCAATAAAACCAACAACTATGCGCGCCGTAAATAGTAAAACGGAGATAGGTTGGTTATTATCCTAAAAGTCAAGACAAAACTCATCGTAATCGTAAAACCAAAAGCGTGCATGTAGAGAACGT